GCTTTGTAGTTGTGTCAGATGTTTCCTTGTCCCATTTTCCATGGGCTTGCATGAAATCCAGCGTTGAACAACTTCACCAAGGACATAGAGACATGGAATCATAGAATCATATAACCAATTAGGTTGGCAAAAGCCTCCAACATCATCAAGTCCAACCATTAACCCAGCACTGCCAAGCCCACCACTAAACCGTATCCCTAAGTGCCACAACTACACATCTTTTAAATACCTTTTTAAATACCATGGCCAAGCACATCTGAAGCTAGAGATCCCCACTACAGCTGAGGCCATGTGCAGTTCCCAGTTTCAAGTAGAGGAAGGCAACAGAGTTGGACCCTTGGCCACCAAAACACAACCGTCAACATCAGCATTCCGTGGTGGGGAGCTCAGCCCTGCTGCCAGCCCTCCTTTCTGCCTTGGCACATGGGATTGTTAATGCGGCCTCCCTCAGCCAGCAGAGCCAAATGTGACAATATGGTGGGTCTTGAAAAAAGGGAAAACTTTAATTAACCTGCCAGAAAAGGTGAGCGGGCAAATGGGTCTTGCTGCCCAGAGTTTTTGCAGCAGAGAAGAGAAATCAGGCATCCACTATCGTGTTGTTGTGACAGGCCATGAAAAACATCCCGAGGCAGCTGTGTCTGGTGCAAGAGTCATCAGATGGCATAGCCTAGTAAGAGCAGCTGCTCCCTTTTCCTTGGGTCAGAGACCCTTCTCCACAGCAGCCCCCACAGCAACCACTCGTGCCCTGGCAGTGTGACATGATGCATTTCCTCAGCTCTTGGGAGGATGTTAAGTTCAGTGACACACATTCCAGCCAAGCTACATTGTTTAATAAAGAGTACAGTAATCACAGACATCAGCTGAAGAGGATTAAGGTTGCCTTCACCATCCAGGGTATTTTACCTATATCTCTTTTGCTACATTTTCTCTTCATCTTCAGCCTTTCCTCCTCAGGACTGCTCTTGCTGGTTCTCTCACGAAGAGCAGAGTGAGTGTGTGAATGGTACAACTGCAGAGGAAGGAAGTGGTGTTGCTGATTCAATAGAGTGTGTTTTTCCTTCTGAGTCAGTACAGAACAACTGTCTCACTGTGCTCAGAACGTATTAGAACAAGAAGTCTGTCCCTGGTATGTGTGGGCTTGTGTTTTAATCTCTGTGACCCAGAACATGTAAAGGTTGCACAGAAGGGATTTTAATTATCTTGAAAGTTACTAAAGTCCAATTAAAACTGCAGAGTCGCCACAGCAGGTCATCCATCCACTGTATCATTCTGTGGGCCCATTGCTGTGATATATCTAACAATCACAGGGCATGAACCTGCTTCTAGAAAGCAGAACATGTCAAGAAGCAGTGTTGTTAAAGGGCAGGTACACGACATTTTTGGATCACACAAGTTCCTGTCTAGAACTGTAGCTGGATCCCATGAAGAGGCATCCAGGAGAGAGCTGGAAGACTGGGGATAAAATGTGAACAATGTGTTATAAAGCTATTAAGCTGAATTTCCAGAATTTTCTGCATTAAGTAGAGCAGAGGTAGGAAGCCTGCAAGAAAATCTGAGGTTTTCTGGACCACTCAAGACAAATACTGAAGAAATGGAAATTACACAGCAGCTAAATTATGACTTCATTTCAGACTTCAACCCTCTATTGGGTCTGGCTGAGATGGACTCCATTTCCCCATAGCAGCCCTCCCAGTGCTGTGCTTTGCATTGGGAGCTAGAAGGATGTTGATAACACACCGGTGTTTTGGTTACTGCTGAGCACAGCACCAGCACTGTAACATTCCTTCCTCAGTCGAGGGCAGGATTCTGGGAGGGGACCCAAGTAGGTCAGCTGACCCAAACTGACCAAAGGGATATTCCATACCATGTGACATCAGCTCAGATATAAAAGCTAAGGCAAGGAGTAGGAAGGGGGGGCATTCATTGTCTCCAATGGCTGCCCACTGAGGGACCATTATGTGTGCTGAAGCCCTCATGGGAAGTAGAGAATAAACCATGTTATCTTTTGCTTCACTTTTGCATGTGCATGCTTTTGCTTTGCTTTTGCTTTAATAAACTGCCTTATCCCAACGCACAAGTTGTTTTCCATCTTACTCTCTGCCCTGTCCAGCTGGGAAGGGGAGCGACAGAGCGGCTGAGTGGGCACCTGGCATCCAGCCAAGGTCAACGCACCACAGTCCCACAGGCTATCATGGAGATATCTGGTTCTAACAGAAGAGATGATTTGCTGGTGCAGTGAAAACTAAAAGAAGAAATGTTGGAAACAACCTGAGAGAAAGTCATACCAGTCATACTGCCCATGCAGAGGATCCAGTGGGAGCTTTAGAGGGAAGGAGTCAAGATATTTTAAAGAATTGCAGGGATGCATTCAAATCAGTTCCTGTGTCATGTTTTGATTAGTATTTTTGTTTACAATATTATTTAAAACATGAAACATCCTCCAATTTCAAAGTTTCATGCACATTTCTCACAGGCCCAGGCTGAAGGAAATGTGGGTAGTGTCCTCTTTCATGCGACTTTCTATTGAGCTCATTTCACCTCAAAGATTTGAGTGAGCCTGAACCCTAAACTGAAAGCAAAACTCAAATGGGCATAAAGGTAAGGCAATGGAAAGTGATTGCCCAAGCCACTGTGAACTGAAACTGCCATGTTATGCACAATGCAGATGTCAGAAACCCATTGAGCTCACACTGCAGCATCCTGAAGCAGGAGGGGACTCTGGCTTACAGCTCTGAAGTTCTCGTGAGCAGAACAGGCTTCTCCATAAAATGTTTAAAGCAATTGATGGTCACAGTGAACTCAGGTGCTGGATGACCACCAGGGATCTCAGTGCCCTATATATGCAGCTGTGTGAAGTGTCTAATTCTCTCCTGGGCTCTCCCAGAAGCCTGCTCACCATGTTACTTCTGTGCTTTTCACTTGGGCAACAAAAAATCTGCTGTGTATGGTTTGTTTTTATTACTCCTGGGCCATGGATGAGAAAGAATAGGTATTTGCTTGGGGCAGTCTTGGGCTCAGTGCCTAGTTCTTGATTTCAGTGAAGGGATTGTGGGCTGAAGGATCCCACTGCTGTGGATGGGCTGCCTGGCAGAGCTCTCTCTCTCTCAGGTACACCTCAAATTTTTATTGTAGAGAGCTCTTTTGTGCTAGGGAAAAGAAATTACCAATCTGAGTTTCACGCCACTTTAAAATAGTCTAGGCCAAGGTTGTCTCAAAAAAAAGAGTGTCTCAAGGATACCGCTGCAGGCTTCAAACCTGATTCAACAGCTTGCTGTCTTTCTGTAAAGTGCTTTTGGTGCTCTGCAGGAACAATGTGGTCTCTGAAATTAAGTACAACTCTTTGGCAGATATAAATTAAGTGGCAGCTGAAATACACTGTTCTCAAGGCTTTCCTAAAATGAAGCAAGGTGGTCCTAGATTTGAAACACATTATATTTATACTGTTACCTTTCCATTCTTTACCCCACCGAACTCTCCTCACTTGTTCTGCTCTTAAATCGCATTTTGAAACACCAGTATATGTGTGCACAGACACACAAACACGGAGGCAGAGCCCTCAGGGAGGCTGTTCTATTGCAGCACTTGGTATGGTTTCATGATATGAATGTGCTGCTCTACGAGCTGCTGCCCACAGGCTGTGGCAGGAGCCTTGCAGGTCTGGGATTCAAACCTGGCCAAAAGTCATACCGAAAAAGGTGAAATCGCAAAAAGAGAAAGCTGACCACAGCTGCTCCTCCGTGCCGCTGACAGCCATCAGGTCTCTGCACCACAGCCCACAGCGCTGCAGCTGCAGCTGACCGAAACCTTGTCTTCACAGGGAGGCCAGTGGTCCCCCAGGTGGGTGCATTTCAGCTCAAAATCTGATGGCAATCCTTTCGTCGGTTAAAAAAAAAACAATCCACTGAAAGCAGCATAAACATCCCCCAGGCAGCAGGCATTTTCTGGGAACTGGTTGAATAAATTCATAGGTGCAAGAGAATGACCAGCTCCACTGATTACAAAGCTCCCCTCCTCCAGAGAGCAGTGACAGTGAAGCACAGGGGCTGTGCAAGGCTTTAATGTGGCCACTGGAATGAGGGAATAGGAAGGAGGGTGAAATGGCTCTGCAGCCTGTCAGCCCACATGATACTGAACCGGACAGCAAATATGTTTTTACCCACAGGAACAGTTTTGCCATCCAAAAATCCAGTGCAGGAAGTTAGGCAGACAGGCAGATGCAGAACTTTCCAGTGGGTGGAGGTCCAAGAGTGAGCCCTGGGCTGAAATGAGTGCGTTGGGAATGGGGGAACTGTCCAGCAGGACACAATGGAGGAACTGGCTAAAGACAGTGAAGGAGGAAGATAAACTGTTCTGGCAGTCAGACAAGCACCCTGCTTCCAGCAGCTTACAGTAAAAGCATTGCAAGGCACCAAATGGCCCCCCAGAAATTGTTTCTGTCAGTGTCCCAGGTTCGGTAGGTCTCTGGAATGTATTTCTCACCCACATTCAAGAGAGTTTGGCTTGTTTAGTCTAGCAAAACTAAGGAGGAGAGGGCATAACTTTGTTGTCTGTAAATACACCAGAGGCTGGGGTGGGAGAAGACCTATCCAAGCCAAAAGATCCTGTTGGTATGAGGACAAATGAGGGATCAGTTGCTGTATGAGAACATTTGGGTTAAAAATTAGGAGGAGGGTTCTAGCCCACATGGAGTTTGACAACAACTGCCTGCAAGAAGAGGGAGCTCCAAGGAGTGGCACTACTGTGAGGATGAAGCCTGAGTAGTTTTTGGAGGGGATTGTAAAATACTGCGTGACCAGGAACTGGGAGGCCCATTACAGCTGGAATAGGGGCAAAGAAAATGGCACCAAAAATGGAAAAGCAAAAACTGGAACAGAGCTCTGCGCAGAAGGCTCGCAGAGAACAGAGAAGTACACATTTCCAGATAAACAATGGCTAAGCCCCACTGAAAAAGGAAGAAGAGGCCAAGAGCTTTCAGAAGCATGGGTGAAACGTCTCTCACCTTCTCAACAATGTCTGGGGTACTGTCTCTCTGGTGAAACAGCCCATATTTATCCATGCATCACATGCCTGGAAGGTAGTACTGGCCTGTAGGTAGAAAAAATACAAATCCAAAGCATTTCTATCTTCCCATTACTGCTGTTTGAAACATCAGTGATGTTCCTCCTAGCTGAGTACAGAGGATTTCCACACCTCTGAAACACAGAAGAAAGAATAGGGAAAATCAGTCTGCAAAAAACCATCTGATAGTTTTCAGCTGGGACTTCCCTCTCTGTACTCATCTAGTTACAAGCATAAAAGCATCTGCAGAGGAGAAACCCATGGGTCATGGGGAGCTCTGTGCATGTGGGAGCAGCAAGCCTTTCCCATGGGAAACAGAACAGCTGTAGGTATGTACCCCTCCATACCCAACCTTACCACTCCATCTGAGCCACAGCCCTGAAAGGGGAAATGAAAACTTTTGCTTAAGGAAACACACCACATCCAGGAGAAGGGTCCCAGGTGGCAATGTTTCTTCTATATCTCAATGGCACTTGAGAAAGTCCTCTGCTGAAAAGATTTTTGAGGGGAAAACACTGCATTTCAGAAAACAGATCCTGCCTGGGAAGGAGAATGGTTCCATTGTACCATCCCAGAACAAGTCCCCCAGCTCGTAAGCGTAAAACACCTTGATGTTTTTTTCCATGCTTGCATTCTTTAAAACACAGATCCGGACGGAATACACTGGGAGTGGGAGACCGTGCACCCAAACAGCCTCACTTATTTCTGGGGAGAGGGCAGTGTGCCTTCAGGTATTAATCTGTGAATGGGAGGGAAGGTGAAAGCTGAGAAATCCACGCGTGTATCCATATCCATGTTTCCACACACACATATATAAAAATGTGTATACACACACAGGGAAAACAAAACAAAACAGAACAGTCCATTGCACACAATCCTCCCCCGGGGAGAGGGCGAGAGAACAAACAAGCAGCAGATGTGAGCCCTGTCACCGCGCCTAACACTGGAGGAAGATCAGATCCCGTGGTGACAAGGTGGTGCGAGAAGCCACCAGAGCAGGAGACAGAAGGAGACTCCTGAGGCAGAAGAAGACCACAAGGCAGAGAGGTCCATGAGGTGCAGGCACACAGGCTGCTCTCCTCCCTTTGCATCACCCCAAGGTGATGAATTGCCTGGTACCAAAGCGGACTCTAAGGGATGGCCCTGAGCTCCTCCATGGAAGAAGAGATGGGCCTGAAGGAAGGCTGCAGGGTAACTTTTTCACAGAAAAGCCCAGAACTGACCTGCAGACGAGCAGCCTTGAACACCATGCCAATCCCAATGCCAGGAGATGTGAGTTCCTGCAGTGCCTGCAAAGAGCAGAAGTGAGAGAAAAAGAGACATCTTCTAGCCAGTTGATCGAAGATAGGGAAAAGTTCTGTTTCTCAGTCAGATATATCTTTTTCTATCTTCCAAAAGAACATAAAGGGCCTTGCAGAACAAACAAGAACAGGGGCTCTCTGTCTCTGGCTTACCCTTTAGTGGTGTTCTGTTTCCTCATCCATCCTGGGGCAGTGGTGCTGAATGCTGATAAGGCCAGACTTGGACCAGCCTCAGTCAGACAGTTGGTGCAATTTGACTTTAGATAATACTTAATGATTTGTTTTTAGTATAGAATCAGGGTGAGTTGGGGTATTTGTTTTTGTTGTTGTTGATTTTGTTGTCATTGCTTCTCCCCCTCCTTCTTTTCCAACCAATTAGGTTCAATTTGTTTTGGCAGAGAACATGATTAGTGGGGCTGGGCTCCAGATGGTTGGGCGCTCAGCCGTTCACCATAAATAACACTGGATGAGCAGTGGTCCTGCATGCAAAGCTGGGCAACAACAGGCTCAGGTCACCAGATCTGAGCATCCCATGGCTGGCTTGGGGAGGACCTTACCTAGGCCCTTTGGAGAAGGCACTGACTAACTTTTCCTTAGATATTTCCTCATACAGATTTGTTACTGCTCCCAGACTGCACTGGCAGGGCACCACTCACCTGGCTGTTCCCTCCTCTCTGAGTTAGCCTCCCCTTGCTCTATAAGCCCAGGGCTTGCTGCTGAGCCTTAGCAAACATGGAGAACATGTTTCTCCTTTTTGCCCTTGCAGCATCTTTTGGTTTGTCTGAAGACCATCTGATCTTGCTCCTGACATGGATCCCAAGGCCAAGCACAAGGGAAGAGAAGCATTCTGTGGGGCTGATGAGCCTGGCCAAACTCCAGCATGGAGCAGCACAGAACTGCTGTGTGTCCCATGGGAACAGTCACAGCCAGGTCCTCTGTGTTGTCACTGTGGTAGCCAGGCCTTTGGATGTCCCTCAAAATTCTAATGGGGCTCTGTGGGAAGAGGACAGCAGTGTTTTGGGAAGAGACAACTTTGGTAAGGGAGCAGATGCCCAACTCCATCTTGATGTGAAACCTTAACAATTACCTTCCGTAACACGCTGTAAGATCTTCAATAAAAGAAGAATTTAAAGCCCAAAATTTATTATTATTGTTCTATCAGTATTTAAGAAATACTTAGTGAATTGCAAACTGAACAGCTACTCAACATTTTACACTAGCTTAGGCAGGCAACCGTTTGGTGGGAATGTCTTATGCTTTAGGACAAAGCTGATTGTTGATACATTTAGTAAATAACAGCTAAAAAGCCTCATTCTATACAATAGGTTTGCTACAGATATAACATGACAATTACGTTAAAGTTAAGGGGCAGACAGTACAGCAAGGAGGAAGTAGCTATGAAGTGTTAAAATGTCTTTGAACTGAGCATTTCAAGCCTTTGAACTGAGCTCTTTCCTGTCACCTCTCACTGCCACAGGCTGCCGTGTTCTCTTCCATTTTCCCAGGGAGTCTCAGCCACTTGCAGGAGCACAGCTGACACACCTGAAATTGGCATCTGCATATGGGGAAATAAACCCAATTTCAGTTCACGTCCATAGTCCAGCTCTGCAAGATCACACCTCTGTGTCGGAGGGTTAGCACATGCAATTGCAGGTGCAAAATCAAGATCCTTGTCCCTTACTGAGCACTGTCCCTGAAAGACTCCCAAGATGTGCATGCCTTGATCATTGAGCAATCTCAGACTCTGCTGTCTGGACTGTTTGCATCATAAATCCTCATACACAGGCATGGCACTGGCTTCACTTGGGTCTGGAAGATCTCTGCAATTCTTTCAGAGCTTCAACCTTTTGGGGGCTTTAATGCAAGCCAAGTTCTTGTTCATGGGGAGACAGTCATATTGGAGCATGTTATGGCTCTGTCCACAGGTGGACAACCCATGGCCAGCCCTTCATAAGCAGAAGATGCCTGTCACATGGCTCAGCTGCAAATTTGGGCTGCAGCTAAGCACATGCCAGCCTCATGCAGAGTAAGCCTTGGGCACAGACAGCTGTTCCCAGGCACATCTTTGCTCATAACAGGGATACATACCCCTTGGGGCTCATGATTCCAAGTCTAAGATGCCTGGATAGCTTTTCTTTATTGACTTTTATCAGGGAGGAGCAACATCAGAAGAGATCCATCTTAGGGAATGCTGGACAAAGGTGCATTGCACCCTGATCCATGAAATGCTTTCTTCATGCACAGGGCAACTGTTTAGCAGTGTTGCACAGGTGTGGTGTGTTTATGCAAGTGAATGGAGCTGGTCTCATTGCCACATGCAGGTGGCTGGAGCTGAGCCAGAGTGCTGGTGCAAGTGCTGTAAATGCCAAAACAATCAGTAGGATATGACTTATCTTGTCTAGAGCACAGCTGTAGCTCTGCCACTCCAGTGATGTCTCACAGGCAACAAAGACAAGATGGTCTTCCAGTCACTGTGTTGTCTCCAGCTGGAGGTTTCTGGAAGCACGCTGTAGAAGCAAACCTTAGGTCAAACAGAAGCACTGAGATCCCTGGGAGACAGTCGTAAATCCCGTGGCCATGGTGGGTATCACATGCAAAGAGATGGAATAGATGTTAATAACTAACAAGACTTGTTCTGGTCTAGCTTAAAGACGTGAAAACTGGAGATGTGGCAAAGCCTCCACGTGTAACACTGACCAGAACCCACAGAGCTGTTCTCAAACAGGTTTACATACAGCTCTATTTATCTCTGCACCCGTTGCAAATCCATGTGTACAATCATGCATATTTTTCAAAATGCCTGAGAGAATCATGACAGAATCTAAAGAAGTTAGAGATGGAAGTGATCTAGCAGGTCCATTTGCAATCTCTCATGAGCCAGGCAGAATTTTTCCCTGGGCTATGTTCATTGCTTTGCCTCGTCTTGTTTTTAATCACTCAAGTAAAGGGACTAGAACAGCCAGGCAAAGTTATGTCACACTGCTGCAGAAGCGGCACTGGGGAATCTTGTATCTCTGATCAGAACAGACTCTCACAGTTGTACAATATATACTTAAGCATGTTTGATGTAGTCAAAAAAATCCTATGCAGAAATGCATTCAATTTCTGTAAATACTCATCTTCCAAGAGTTTTTAAGACTTTGCAATAAACATAGCCAAAGTCATCATTCAACAAATTGAAATCTCACTTGTATTAATGTGGTTGCTATATTCAGATTCAATTTAACCCTCATGACTTTATCTTGTAATCCAGTAAATTGTGCAGGTCAACAGAAGTTGTTATCAGAGAGCTGATTAGGCATTTATTTTCCATCATCTCCTCCACCACTTCCTGGGCACCAGAGAACCCTCACCTCAGCAGAGGGCACTTCCTAAAATATCCCTGCTGGCCTCCACTGAGAATTTCTTTCGTATATTAAGTGAATTCAGTGTGTTTTCTGAGGTCTTCTCATGGATCTGCCCTTTTGTGGTGGTGACTGCTTTCAGGAGGGTGATGTTCCACTTCATGCAAACAAAGAGCAGCCGATGACTCAGAAAAAAATGTGGTTGTAGGAGTCATTTTTTATCATCCAGGGTCCTGGTTTTCTTCCCTTGAAAGCATAACACAAGAAGGTCCCCTCCAGCAGCCTGAAGAGATTGCAGCAGAGATAAGTTGCAATGTGCATGCCATGCTCTGGTAGCTGAGCTCACACAAAGTATAAGAAATCAGTTCTTATAGCCAGAGACACGGGTCTCTGAGAATAAATACCCAGTGAATTTCCTAGCTCAGTTGCATCTAGTCAACAGAGATGTTTTGTTTCGTTACAGTGGCCCGGGAGGTTTCTGGGGTCAACAGAGCTAAATAAAACAACCAGCAAAAACACTGTGGTCTAGGAAAGGGCAAGATTTTTCAAAGCTCAGCTCCCCTTGGCAGCGCAGCTCTTGTATGGAGTGATGAAAGTGTTTAAGTCATCAGAAAAAGCAGGCAGTGACCTGCAATAAGATACATGGCCTGGTGAGATACGTCGCATCTTGCTAATGACCTCCAGAGCTGGGTCAGCAGATGCCACTGCGGGGGACACCATCATCTGCCAGGCAGCAGGCAGAGCTCCACTGCCTTGGCATGTCTCCATCCTCACTGCAACACTGGGCACATCAGCCCCATGGAGGCCCTGTGAGGGCAATTCAGATTTTAGGAAATAACACCCAGGAGTGGGGATTCTTCAGAAACTTTTCAAGAGAACAGACTCACCAGAAATCCAGTCTTTTCTATGAGCTGCAGATCCTGAAGCTAACAGCTCTCTGAAACTGTTTGGCTGCAATCACTTACCCTTTTTTTACCAGAATTACATAAAAGCATCAATGAAAAGAGAGTGAAACCATATAGACATCTCAAACTTGAACAAAAGTTTGGAATTTTGCTTAGTCAAATATTTAAGCTAGAAATTTGGGGACGATTGTGAATTTTACCCCAGAAAGCTCATCCTTTCTTTTCAGGCAAAGTTGGCAGTTTTCTGCTTTTAGAACATGGCTCTGCCTAATGAGGATACAGAGTAGGGCAGCCCAGAGCCAGCCTGATGCCTGGTCCAGGAACTGTCTTCTGGCATGGAGAAAAATGGCTGAGGATTGATGGGTTGAGAGCATGGTGCCAGACGCATCCTGCTGCTCCAGCTTGTCTCGGATCTATCTGGATACCCTTCCTCCCTGCCCAGCTGGCAAATTATGTGGACTGCAACAAAGCAAACTGGGGCACAGGGCAGAGCTTGCTCTTTTGTGCAATATGGGAGCTAATCTCATTGCTGCAGAGTGAAATTTGGTTCCATGAAGGCTTTCAAGTTTAGGCCAATGAACCCCCCACATAGGACTGTTTCCAAGTGGTCCAGAGCCTTCTCCAGGTCTTGTAACACTGGAGTGTTGGAGGTCTGAGACCAACACTACCAGGTATAGCCAGGTTCTTGGTCCTCAGGTCCTCCCAGGTACCAGGCTGGGATTTGGCATTGCTGCCATGTGCAGAGAAGCACTCTAGGTATTTCTCTCCCATTAGCATGTCCCTGCAGCACAAGTCTCATTTCAGCACAACATGTATTGCTAAATCTACACACCTTGTAATCCTCACCCTCTCCGGAAAGAGAGAAAACCCGATGCACAGCAGAGATATGCCATGCACAGTCCTCCCCACCAGCAGTGGCCATCTCAGCTGGAGAGGCCAGGGTGCATTTCAGTACCTAAAGGCACCCCCTCCCCCAAAAAATAATGAACTTTTAAACTCTGGGACTTAGATGAGGGGATGGGGGAGGGTTGGAAATGGCCCCGTTGCTTCACGTTGCACATTAGCAACCGAGTTCACTTCACAAACACAAGGTGCGCTGTCAGAATAGCCCGGGGCAAAGTTTGTACTTTGCTTGAATTCTAACTTTTGTTTACCAAGGTAATAAACCGGTCTTCTCTTCCAGGTGTAAATGCTATTATGAAAAGGCATATTTGTGTTTCATCTCACCTCAGATGTACAGTATGTGCTCACATCCTACACTGTGCGTACAGCCCACATTGCTACAGAGTTAGGAGAAGAAAAGAGAAGGGGTAAAAATAAATAACCCCACTCTGTCCTCAAAAAACACTGTGTTCTGGAAAATATAGGAGTTTAATTGGATCTCTTTCCCTTTAACCTCTGTGTGCAGCCCTTGCTCTACCCTGTAAAGACTGGGTCAGACCTTTCCCGCATCCCTGTGGTCTTCCCCATTAGTGCAGCTGGGCAGACCCCATGGGGGGAAGCTGATGGAGATGAACTATTCATTGCGTGCTGACAGGTTGATCTCTAAACAGTGGAGTTTAATTTCCACCAAACTAGTTGGGTCGCCAGTTTGGCTCCCTTCCCCTAAACCCGCCTGCATCTCCATTGTGCCACGTGCATTCAGAGGTGTTGTGTTTGGTGTAATCTCACTGAAACTCATGGGAGAGGAGAAGGAGGTGGAAGGAAAAAAAAAAGAAAGAAAAAAGCCTGGCATTGTTTTTTTCTTGCACTTCACCTCCTGTTCCTGGTGTTGTGCCCACTTGGCAAGATTTAGAGATAGCAGACGAGCTCTGGATAAAAATGACCTAAATGTTTCCTCATCCCTTCAAACCTGTTCGGTGGCCTTCT